ATATAAATTCATGTAGTTATGTTGGTTTGCGCGCATGCCATAATCGGTGTAATCCCTTTCGAAATTGTGTAGTTCGAACCCATAAACCAAACCTAATTAATATCACATACCCGCAACCATACCAAATTCTAGTTACCGGACCTCATTCCGCATCGAAAACATTTTATCAGAAAATTGTGCCATTTAACTGGTATTAAAGTTATTGTTTGTGTGTTATCAGCGTATGGAGTTCGTTATTGCTGCGCATCATACTTGAATCCACTCTTGGGACTTTGCGCATGTTAATAATCTGCCCAGAGAGTTTCACGAGGCATCTTATACGTTGTTTTTTTCCTGGGCATTGTGATAAACCCCAAAATGATCCGAAAGAATAAAAATTCCGATCTAGCAATTTGAAAAATTTTCTCAAATTTGGAATAACTATAGAATACCCCACCATCGAAGCAATGCCTTTGATGTAACGAACCTATAGCCTACGCCCCTTTTTACACATACATTTTAGCCTATGCGCCAGCAACCCTACACACTTAACTTCTCGCCTATTAGCCTACATCCCTACTGGCCTACACGCCTACTGGCATACACGTCTTCTGGCCTACACGTCTACTGGCCTACACGCCTACTGGCCTACACGCCTACTGGGCTACACGTCTACTGGCCTACACGCCTACTGGCCTACACGCCTACTAACCCTAACACATTTGCGACGACAAAAAATAAAAAAAATTTAAAAAAACAAAACGAAGGCGAATTTTCAACTTGTCGCTCACGCCGGAGTAACAAGACGCCTGTTCTGGCGTTAACTCCGGCGTGCAGTGCACGTGCCAGTCTTCAATAGGGAGCTTTAGCAGTGACTACGAGTACGACTACGAGTACGAGATTCGTCATTCTCGCGCGTTGTTTGCTTACGCCATCAGTCGCAACTCGTAGTCGTTGAGCTTTTGAGTACGAGTTTTTTGATAAATTTCGTATACTCGAAAGCCCAACGACTACGAGTTTCGGCTAATGGCGTAAGCAAACAACGCGCAAGAATGACGAATCTCGTACTCGTAGTCGTACTCGTAGTCACTGCTAAAGCTCCCTAATATAAAGCTTTGGAACATAAACAATACAGTAATACTGAGTCAACTCTTGGGAAACACAACTCTTGGGAAAACTGTGTTGTCGCGTCGGAAAATTCCGACAACTGACAACTGAAAACTGAACTAATATTACAGACTAGAAACGCGTGGGTTGGAATTTACTGCAAGAATGAGATTCACAATTCGTCTGTTACAGCATTCATGCTTGCAGATTTGAACCTAATATGATTTCGGCTATTATTATTCAACTATAAACATTTACCTGTAGTCTGTCGTACCAACATTGTCAATATCCAATAAATAAGGGCCCGGATTACATGGCCATGGGCGAGTTGTCCCGGCTGAGGCAGTTGTTTCACTTTGTTGAGTTGCCCCGCTGTATATATATATATATATATATATATATATATATATATATATATATATATATATATATATAAATATATATATATATACTATACTTTGAAATTACGATTATATCGCAAACGAGTTGTCCCTATCAGAATGTTTTACATAATGTAAACGGGAAAAGATCCCAATATTTTCTTGGTAGAAATTATACACAACAAAAAAATCATTATTCACAGCCTATTCTTAACTAATTCGCACACTGCGCCCCTGGTTAATACTTCACTATAGCTAAACCTTCGTGGGAAAAGTACCTACAGTATGTATCGAATTTAACCAGGCCTCTTTCCTTTCCGGTACGAACTGAAACGATGGTTTAACTAACGTTAGCGCAAAAATTCACATTGAGATAAAAGATCCATCCTCAGACTCAGTCAAAATTGACTTACAGTTTGATATGGAACCTTGCCTATTTATCCCAGTCAGAATAACGTGTTAGTTTTGACTGGATCGTCGATTTCCTCCGTACAAGACAACAACGAGTTAAACTAAGCAAGGACTGCTACTTTGAATGGCGGAAGGTGCCGCTGGTGTCCGACAGGGTAAAAACGTGGACCCTGGCTCTTTATCTTAATGTTAAACGACCTTAGACCTTCTGGGGTTGACCCCCTCACGATTTCAGAAGTAGTCTTAAGGCAGGATGTTAGTTCAATTCAAACAACTGTATCTACTGTGCAAACCTGGTCCAATTTGAATATGTTTCGCCTTCATGATGAAAAATGTAAGGAACTTAGAATCGATTATAAACCGATTAAAAATGAATTTCCTGCGATAATGGTGGATAGGAAACCAATTCAAATTGTCCAAGAAGTAGAATTACTTCGCTTAACTATCACACACGACTTGAAATGGAACAACCACGTAAATAAAATGATCTCGAAGTGTGCAAAGCGCCTATACCTTTAGTGCAATTGAAGCGAGCCAGATAAGAATATGATACAATCCTACAAGACTTGCATAAGACCTGTTCTAAAATATGCATCCATTGTTTTCCATTACCCCTTACCAAACTATCTGTGTAAGGACATCGAAAGGACAACTTTTGATTCCGCTATATTCTGTCACAATACCCGGGTGTCATTCCTAATCCCCGGGCGGAATTAGTACACTCGATCGCACGGCGCTCCCAACCGGTTCAGGAACAAGTGTAGCTGCTCATTTTAATATACTAAATCACCTTTTTAAGCGGTATTGTTTGGTGGTATTGCGGGGTCTTTAGCCCAAAGATATTTAGTTTTGCTTCTCACGACAATACTGTCTGGATTTATATAATTATAAGCTAGACGAGAAATAAGCCTAATTCTTAGAATGTAGCCCAAAACGTGAAAGGGATTTCATTTGGTTTACAGGGATTATTTTGATATATTTAGCGTCAAAATGGAGCCTTTGCAAGAATTTTACCGTAATATTTTGTATAAACATTCATAACCGCATAGTAGGCATAATGATATATATGTAATTGCAACATTCACGACAGGTATTTCCAAAAACAAACAAACAAACAAAAAGCGGTCGGTACATACCACACGCGATGCATCATGTTTCAGCTGTCAGACGCATATAAATTAAATTCTTGAAGCAAAATTTGGAATCTATGGACACAAGAGCGGTCAAAATGTATTATCGTTAAGTGAATGGTAAAAATTATGTAACGAGACAGACTCGCGGGATTCTGAAGAAGATTCGCGAGTCGTGAAGCACATGTTTTTGAGAGTGTAGAGTTGAGATTTAATCAGGGCGCTTATTTATTTAATCAGAGTGCTGATCAAGCAAAACTACTTTTGGGCACCAATCCCCCGCATCAAACGTCCATGAACAAAGTTCTGGGGTTGCACCGCCATATATATAAGCGCCCTGGGGCCGGTTGTTCAAAAGCCGGTTAGCTTAACCAGGGTTAACTCAAATAGTCACATCAAATTTTTTTATCCCTTGCTTATGAAGTTGAACATGTTTTTTGATAAATATTTTGTGAATGAATAAAAGTCTTATTTTGTAAAGTCTTACAGCGGTGCAGAAGCATATAAACCAAAACAGCGTAGTAAAATTTAACCCAGGGTTAGCGCTAACCCAGCTTTGAACAACTGGCCCCTGGATTTAATATTTTTGTTATTTTGTCTGCTTGTTAAGAAATCATTATTTCTTCGCGAGGTAGCAGGATCTTTACAATTGAAACCATGCATGCACTGTTCTTAAATATGTGTTTCTGGATCTGCTCTTTCTTTTCGAGTCTTCGTCGTTTGCTCTTCTGTCTTCTTTGCCTGTTTTTTTAATGTTCAGTTTCTTCAACGTTTCACATGACTTTCACTCCAAATTACTCTTTTGCTTAATCCATCAATACGGAACTACATATACTACTATTTTAATCCAAATAAGCTTTCCCTGACGTAACGCTTAAAGGCTGCTTTTCACTTACGCGTTTTTTATACGCATGTGCACGTACGGAGAATTTTAATTGCTTTTACATTTTTATTATTTAACATCTAGGTCAAATAATCCATACCAAAATATGCAGAAAACTATGTTCCTTCGATTTATTCACTTAGTTTTTTCGACGGTAACATGTATAAGGATTTAGACTTTTACATGCGTGTACGTGCGTATGAAAAACGCGTAAGTGAAAAACAGCCCTAAAATGCTCGATCGCCCGTAATATAAAACACAATTGTTTGACATAAGAGCTTTGCAGCTACCTAAAGCATGCATATTCTTACATGCCTCAGTTAAACTTGGCAACGACATACAACTGTTGACCCACATGCGAACGTTCTGACAGGGTGATTGAGGTTTCGAGCCCACAAAATGTCATGCATTAAAGGAAAAGTAATTAATGATTGTGAATGGCCGAAAATTATATTTACTCATATATTCTTTGTGCCAAAAATAAATTATTTAACCACATCATGCCAGCTGATGTCTCCTATTTTTAGAACTATTTTAATATATCTCAACACAATAAAGCCTTGCGTAACACGTTTAATAATATATTACTTTTCAAATTACTTTAGTTAAGATCTTATTTTACAAAAAGTAATCTACAAGAATATCATGTTAGTTTAAAATTTATTTGTGTGTTTGTGTGTTTCTGTTTGTGTGGACTTTTAGTCAAATTTTAAGTCGGTCAGGAAACGACTTCTGGGGTAAATATACCTTAGGGGGTGGGCATGCATAAACCACTTTTATTCCAATTTTGTCGTTTTTGTGTTTACGTGTGGTCGGTGTGGACGGGCGAAGACGAAGGTTTTCGAATTCGATGACGCACTCATATTACTTGGAAATGCGCATGCTCTATACATGGTGCAATCAAATTTCCTTCGTTTTAGCGTTTGCGTATATGGTCAGGCAAAAACGATTCGAATACGCTTCGTGTGAGTAAAGTCGCTATAAAGTCGCTATAGGCAAGAGTGTTAGATAACAAAACATCCTATTATTTTGACTGGTATCACAGGTGTTTGTTATATCTACATGCTAGATTTTAGTATAATGTTCATATGATCGTTTTCAAGCGCTATTGTTTGGTGGTATTCCGGTGTTTTTTCCTGCGTAATGACGCAGACAACATTGTAGGGAAGAAACAAGATTGGAAATCTAAAGACAGATTGTATATTTCACCCCAGAAGTTGATTCTTTGACATCGATTATTGGACTTAGCGTAAGTTCTCGGCCTTTTTGCAATTGGCCGGTATTTGTTCGCTTTTTCTTATAATTGTGAAATACCTGCTGTCACCAGTGCAATGATTTATATATCATTATGTGTGTATGATGAATGATTATGTAAAAAATACGCAAAAAATATTCGGGCCTATATAAAAGGCCTATTTCGAAGCTAAATATATCAAATTAATCTCAGAAATGTGAACTAAATTATTGTACCGGGATTCCGATCGCGTTTTGAGCATTGTTTGACATTATAAAATTGAACCATAGCGTTCTATCAAACCAGAAGATCTTTTCCGATGCAAACCGTATACAATATTCCGGGCCGTAGCTAGAAGCTTAATAATTTTTGTGTGTGTGTGGGGCGGTATATTTAATTTATTTATTATATGGCAAGCTTTTGTTTTGGTTATATTATTCTGCAATTTGCTTGGCTTTTGACAGGTCCGGATTTTCCCGTATTAATTGCCCATGGGCAATACGCAATTCTTATAGCCCTGTGAAAAACAAAGCAAAACTGACGGCGAAAACATTAAATTTCGGCTAATTGTATGTGCATAAAATAAAAATGAAGGAGGTTACTGAAGGAGCATTCAGAATGCGAGTTTTATTTTCCTGAAACGTAATGAATATAATGTTTCTGTTGGACCGTTGACGGTTGATCAAACGAAATAATTATTTCAAACCATTTTAATTAAACTTTACATCCGACTTTAATCACATTAAACATTTGTTCGCCAATGTCGCCAGGCAGCTTAGAGAAGTAATTAAATTACAATATATGAATGAATTATCCCATACTGTATAAAAAAACTGTTTTCACAGTCAGTGAACACTAAAATATCACGCGATTGAGTTTAGCCTCATTATAGTTTAAGGCGCAAATGTAAAAATTCCGTGGCGAACATTCGTATTGCATTAATCTAAAAACATTATCATTATATTGTTCGTCGATGAATGTGAGAAATCCGAGTCAATGCCTCACCTATATAGTCAGTTTAGTGACTTCCTTTTGTTCAGTATACTTTATAATCATATTTATAAATGCGCTTTACGACTGCGCTTTACGACTTTAGATACAGATTTGACACTTTTGATAAAAATATCGCTTGCATGCTTGCCAACAATTAAATTATACAACATGCATGTAGTTTTGTTTCTGTCAGTGCGTTACTTGCAAATATAGAAAGTTAGCTATTAAGAATATATCCTCTATCTTTGAAAACTTAAGTCAGTATTTTACAAGTTATATAGATCTTGCGCGGTCACATCAATAACATATTAGGTTTAAAGTCATATTATCAACTCTAATACTGTTTCACCCATAGAAATAATAGACATAGAATGCGTACTGAACCTCTTCCCTGCGGATTTATAAGGGTATTTTTCCTCGTTTCAGACTCCTGCGAGGAGTTTTTTTGTGCGCAGTCACGAGGAGCGAGATATATGAGTGAGTTTGAAAGGCAAGCTTGTTTTAGTTTTTGTTTTAGTCAAGCACGGGAGCAATAATTGGTTTAGGTTTTGACTACATTGTTTCATGAATTGACTGATGCAGTCTGATAGGTGTTCCTAGCTTTCGATCAAGCAATTCAAGCAGACTCGTCGTCGAAAGCTAAGTATTTGCCTTGTGCATAAGCTTTCAATTTACGGCATCTAATATTGCTCAGGCACTTGGGGTTTCACAAAGTACTATAGACCAATTGCAAAACTTATCAACCGCGCCTTCGTGCAACATGGAAACGAGGCTTGGCTTATTATGCAAAAAACAATATTTGAATTTTTGAAGTACAAAGCTATTCGCTGTTTTATATCCCGGACAGTCAGATGATATAATTTTCACACCTGATGACTGAAATGGTTTTGAAATTGATTCAAATTTATTCACAAATATCACTGAATTTTTTATCTTTATACCACAGTAATGACTGTGAAAATGGTAAAAAGTAATTGATTGAAATGTTTTTGTTTGTTTCTTTTTAATAAAGTACAGACGATGCATTGTTTACAACCCAACCTGAAGGCCGAATTTAATTTAAAAGTCGAATTCGAATGCACCTGACGTTCTCTATATTTTGCGTCGCTACAAAACACTATTCTTTCTATCTATCTATTGTACCTATCAAATTTTAAAGCGGGCTGTTCCAAATTATTTTAATCTACATTCACATTTGTATTATATTATATTTCTTGTATATATTCCTTACACGGCTCTCATGAAAAGCAGGTATATTAATTATTAGTTTGATTTATCATTGTAAATATTTTTGTAGTCTTATTTTGTAATTCATAATCTTGTCATTTGTCAGCATGAAAATCCTGATTGAGAATACCGTGTGTAAATAAAGTTTAATAATAATAATAATAATAATATGCAATAGATGTTTAATAAGGGTTAACCAGAAATACTTGAAAAGGAAAGGATTCCATTCACCAGGGTAACGAAAAATTTTTTAACCTTCGGCTCTGCCTTGCATCATGTAAAGATATATCTTTAAAAACGCAGCTGCTCCATTGTGGCTACATTTATAGTATAATATTGTGGGAAAAGGAATATTAAATAGCAATTCAAAATAGAGAATTATATTATGTCTTGGTTATGAGTATTTTACTATCCATGTCATGCTTGTGTGCCAAGTTGAAGAGTTGTTTTGCTTTTGAGTCGGCATGACATCACATGCCGCAGTCTATATACACAGGGAAAATAAACCAAGAAACTCCGTTGTATACCCTGGCGTGAGCGACGGAGTTGAAAATTTGCCTTGGTTTAGCTTTTTTTTGTTTTGTTTTTTCGTAGTCGCAAGTGTGTTTTCGCGCGAAGTATACTAGTATTTGAAATGTGTATATGACCGTATTTATCTACGTCACAGTTTTGTCTCCCAAGGTTTTGGTGCACAGCTCTATCTAATTTTCCGATGCGCGATTTTATGTCGCTCGCATGATACGGCAATTTCTCCAAGAGTAACAAATAAACCGTTCTTTTGATGCTGTTCGATTAAGTTTAGATTGAATTGGGGTAAGAATATATTCAATACATGTAGATTCTGATCCTATTTTAATAATATCGCTGCCATTTCGCCGTTTAACAAGATGTGATCCTTTAAGCCCGGCGCACACTAGAGCTTGCTTCTCAGCCAAATGTCATTCGTGGCAGCGTGCTTAAGCAGGAAGCTCCAGTGTGCGGTGAAGTTTTTTGAGTTTTTGTTCACTCGTGGCGCCTGGAACAAATATTCAACATGTTGAATATTTTTTGGCACGAATAACGCTTGCCTCCGTGTGTGCGCTGAATTGAAGGAGCAAGCTCGCAACAACTGAATAATGCGCATGCGTATCAGCGACAGTAAACGAAAACAAAATGGAGGGGCAAAGTGAGTTGCTGACTGATGCTACTTTGGAGGACAGAATTGCCGATATATGGCCCGACTATCCTTGCCTATATGATGTTAGATCTCCAGACTTTAAAAACCGAGATAAGAGAGAAAAGGCATTCCAAGAAATTGCCGAAAAATTGCAAAAAACTGGTAAGCTTTAACGATACAGTCGATTAGTCGATACATATTTGAATTTCTTTGCTAATGTTTGTCAAGATTTTGCCTCATGACCTCATCTACACACTATGTATCTCTTTTGGAAAATCAAGGAGTATTGTTTTGGTTTACTTGGCAATAGTGGGGACAGTAGCGTAGCCAGCCTGACGATTTTGTCCCGCTATGTAAATTTCGAGTTATTATAATTATTCATGTATTTAGAAATCTATTGTTTTCACAGTCAATAAACACTCAAATATTAGCATAGCGGGACAAATCGACAGGCTAGCTACGCTACTGGTGGTGGAATCTATTTCCACCTGCAGCATAATAATACTTTTGTACTGTACTGTGCTATTTTTAGTATATACCTAATATTAATTCATTTTGCAGTCGACTGGGTTAAAGCTAAATTAAAAGCATTACGAAATAGTTATACAAAAGCCAAGAAGCCTGGACCCAGTGGAAGTGCCAGAAAAACCCTTACCAAACGGGCTGCCTGGTTGCTAGAAAAATTACAATTTCTTGCTCCACATGTTGCAACACGAGCATCTATTTCAAACGTCGATTTAGTAAGTATATTTTAGAAATAAGTATTCAATCACATAAGTTCATTGAATTATTAGTTGAAAGCCTGTGTAAAACTAGCCATGGTAAAGAAAGTTTACATTTCAAACATGTTAGCCAGACAAGCTAATCAGTTTTAAACAACATTCCAAAACACATTAATTAATTTGGGCTTCATTTATTGTACAATCATATTGTCTTGCCATGGGACAGATCCATGATTGTTAAAGTATGTAGTTAGGATTTCACGCTGATCCTTGGCATTTCTAGGTGGGTTGTGATTAGGATTGCTTTGCAAACCAGTAAGTCTTTGGTCATTTCTCCACATTCCTACAGAAATTGTATGATCAGCATTCTCTAAGTCAGCAGCCGCTGTGTATGTTGATTTGTTTTTTTCCACTAGGTAGTTGTGTAGACAGCAAGCGGCAAAAAGGACATATGTCAACTTATCTGGGCACATTTTAATTGTAGTCAGAAAAACTCTCCATCTGTGAGCTAGAATTCCGAAGGCGTTCTCAACCACTCTCCTTGCACGTGATAATCTGTAGTTAAATATACGCTTCTCTTGTTCTAAGTTGCGATGTGGGTAAGGTTTCATGAGATTCTTTGACATAGGGAAGGCATCATCCCCAACAATGTGGTAGTTTAGTTTAAATACTGAATTTCCTGGAAGACATGTAGGAGATGGAAGGTTAAGTGAATTGGACGCTACTGATTTTTTTAAGGTTGATTCGCCATATACCCCAGCGTCACCTGCACGTCCTGCCGCTCCAATATCTACGTAGATGAATTTATAATTTGCATCTACCAATGCTAACAAAAGAACACTGAAAAAGTGCTTATAATTAAAAAATTCTGAGCCACTGTAACTTGGTTGTTGTATGGCTATGTGCTTTCCATCGATTGCCCCTATGCAGCAGGGGTAATTCCATTTTGTTTCAAATTCAGCGGCAACTTGAAGCCATTCGTTTGCTGAAGATGGAGTCTAAAAAACAAAATGTAATAGTAAATTTTCTTTAAAAATCTAGGATTTATGTTCGACATCAGTGACATCAGATACAAGCATAGATGAAAACTTTGAAGATGACCAAATTTCTGGACAACCAAGAAGTGTAGATACACCAAGTCCATTATTTGACAACGACCTGGATGAAACTCCAAGATCGACAAAAGAGCCATTGAAAATGAAACCCAATAGAAAAAGGCAAGCTGAAGAGGAATTTAAGATAATACAAGGATTGGCACAGTCTCTTGCTGAAAGAAAGTCGAAGACACAGAAGTCAAACAAACCAGCTACTAATCCTGTTGAACCATTTTGTCAATATGTAGCACAGACATTGTCTACGCTTGACACTGGAGTTCGACACCTAGCTGAACATAAAATAAGCCAAATCCTGTTCCAAGCACAAACTGGCACACTTGCTCAAGAAAACCCATACAGATCTATTGCACCTATACAACCACAGCCACATTTTTTCCACACAGAAAATACACAATATAGCCTGGCAGGAATGAACAATCAAGCTGTGAGCACATATTCTCCATTCAATGCTCAGCAACCACATTCTTCACCCCAGAATGACTCTGCAGGTCACAACTTCAATGCTCGTACAGGTATATGGAGTTTGCAAAATACACAAGGTGGCCACACCCCAGAAGATAGGCACTAAAGCATGCAACAACTTTACTCCAGCTAAGTAGCAAGTGGAAAAAAACTGCAATGGATATTGGAAACTAAAAGAAACATCTATTTTATACTATTTACAATAGGATGCCTTTATCTTAATCATGCATTAATGTTGTGTTAAAAGAAAATTCATATTACAAACCTTTAAATAAATTTCTTTTAGTGCTATGTACAATGCTTTGCAAGTTTCTTCAACAATTGATGAAATAGTTCTTTCCCCTATTCGGTACTGAAATGACAGACTCCTAAAAGTCTCACCTAAAATATAAGGTGACAGGTTGAGTCCGTTAAGAAAGCAATGAATCATAATCATTTGATAAAGTTCTGTCACTTCATTGAAATTACTTTTAGGAGCTTTTGGAAAGGAATATTTCCTTGTAGTTCATTAGTTTAAAATCATCGTATTTCGAAATAATAAATTTGAGATCTAAGTTTACAATTTGCTATACTTAAAGAACAGAAAATTTTTAGTTATTATAATTACAAAACCACCGAAAATAAGGGATAAAAAACAAACCTGTTGCAAGAAATCGCAGAGTTACCGATAGGCGCTCAGACGGCTTTAGTGCACTTCGCAAATGGGTATCTTTTTTTGAGATGAATGGGCAAACCATTCCCAAGATTTCATTGAATGCTTCTCTATTCAAGCGATGGTATTGCCGGAATCGTTCTGGATCTTCAGCATTTAACTCACGAATTAGATTTGCATGCGCCCCTTGTGTTTCTCTCCGCAATATCCAGCGCCTTGACCATGTCTGCCGATTTGCAGCTCGTAAACGCCTACGACGTCGTCGCATAAGCAACAAAAAAAGCAACATTTCTTCGAATTCCTCTTCTTCGGAATCTCTTGCTATTTCCTCCATTTTGTTTTCGTTTACTGTCGCTGATACGCATGCGCATTATTCAGTTGTTGCGAGCTTGCTCCTTCAATTCAGCGCACACACGGAGGCAAGCGTTATTCGTGCCAAAAAATATTCAACATGTTGAATATTTGTTCCAGGCGCCACGAGTGAACAAAAACTCAAAAAACTTCACCGCACACTGGAGCTTCCTGCTTAAGCACGCTGCCACGAATGACATTTGGCTGAGAAGCAAGCTCTAGTGTGCGCCGGGCTTTATGGGCGCGTTGACACGTCGCAGTTAATTTGCACAGGATTGAAGATTTAATATAATATACACGAATTTCAAAGTGTAAGACAAAGTGAACGTATCATGCGGTTTATTTACAATTTTGAACAATTGAACTTCTATACTTTTTAAAGTACGATATGTGCTTCTGAATGTCGCGATCGAACAACATTTAGGTTCACAAGGCATCTAAATTAAATGAGTATGAACTGTATATTGTTTATGTTCAGAAGCTTTATATTGAAGATTGGCACGTGTGCGGCACGCCGGAGTTAACGCCAAATGTAAATAACCATGTCATTAAATGAACTGGAGGTAGCAAAATACGATGAAATATTAGGGCAAAAACGAAGAAATTACTTCAATTAATTCAGAAACTTATATACGGGATAAAACCGAATTCCCGAGAAAATATATCTGAATTACATAACATATGCATCTCGACATTATCAATATCTGCTAATTGACAGCTGGGGGAGCATTAACGTGTAGTACCGGCGAGCTCAAACACACCCCTGCAGTGCTTTTATACTATATGATGCATGGATCGAGAGCCTATGTAAGTCTACGATTATTTGCCTCATTATCTGGTATAAAAATTGGGTCTTTCTCGCATAATTTACAATAAAGATCATCGTAGCCAGTTTGACATTTTCGTTCACTATGTAAATTTTGCATCATTATAATTATTCACTTTTTAGAAATTTATTGTTTTTACAGTCAATAAACCACATCCTACGCAGGCCCTTTTCAAGGCAAATTTGGCCGGCTGTGTTATTTTGCGGAAAGAAGCACGCATTTTTCCAAATCACCCGAAATGCTCCCTAGCGTTTGCGGAGAAGGTATAGCCTAGGTCAATAAACATCAAATTAATCGTCAAGCTGGCCTCGCTACTGATAAAAAAATTGTAATAACAGAAAAACGTGCTTCTCAGTTCTCTTTAATAACCGAAGAATTAAGCTGCTGGTTATATTGTTGAGTGCATGGCTAATTAATCAGTATATTCGATCTGTCTGCATGGTCTATACTGATCACTTTAGAAAATGTGGCAATGTAGAATCTACCTCAATTAATAAATAACAATCGCCAGTTTGAATTCAAACGATAAGTTTAATTGGCATAGCACGCTTGCTTTGAGACAATGTCTAAAAATTCTAAAATAAATTACTGCACCAGAATTAACATGACATGAATAATGAATGACCTCTATATCAACTCCAAACAGAATAATATAATAATATATGTTAAAACTCAAATCTACGAAATGATATATTTTATGGCCTTTCAATATATCCAAATGTGAAAATGTTTGTATATATATAATAACATATCCATACATGTGATGAAGGTATGTATTACATGTATTTTTAATGCGCAATTTTGCTGGCCATATCTGGATATATACATTACACAGACAGTGTACTTGAAATTCCACTCGGCGGATCGACAAGTATTTATATAAAATTACAAGACGTTAACTACAAAATTTAAACTTGGGCGCTCTGAATTTGATCAAAAAAGTCCGTTCAAAGTAAGTGTGTTAAAAAATCACGATCAGTTTAACCTATTTTGGCCAGTTGTTCAAAACTAGGTTAGCGCTAACCCTGGGTTAAATTTTAACTTTAATGCTTCTGAACCACAGTCCGTTTTAAAACTTTAGAAAATATGACTTTCGGCTATCGTTACAGAAAATATTTATGAAAAAAGATATTAAACTTTGTAAACAAGTGACTTAAAAAATCGACGTAAAGATGTGCTTGAAGCCAGAGTTAAGCTAACTGGCTTTTGAACAACCCGCCCCACACGTCTCTTTCACATGTTAGATGTTATTGCTATTGGATAGATAAGTTGATTTCGTTGGATCCAATTCACTTCTGACGTATGAAATATACTCGGTTATTGATAAAGCAGTACTGCATTGGCTTCGGTGGATTTGCTGCTCGTACACATTACAAGACAACAGACTGTAATATATCCATCAGAAGTGAATTGGATCCAACAAAATTGGATCGTGTGTATAGATCTTTAGAAACCCAGTTTTAATTATAAGTTTAACTAACTACAGCTCAGACTTTGTTTACCTAAAGGAGTCTACAATAATTGTTCATTGGAAATGAAGGCAGTACTACTTCTCATCCGCGTCGTAGATTTGGTGCATGTATCTTAAGGTCCCTACACTATCCCTGTTCGTGGACCGCTTCTCTAATCTCCTTATTCTGTCTAATATTATTGCGATATTTGAAGGCGAACAAGCCCATAATCGTGCCATAATTTATCTATAGTAAGTGTTAAATGTTTAATTTTTGATAATATTTGTAAACTTTAAACTAGCACTAACAAAGAACATGCATCGATTATACCTGCGGCGCACATGTATAATTTTCGCAGGGAATCGGACCAATATCATGGCATAAAGTCGATCTGCTCATTATAGTTTTCGCGCTGACTTGACTTGCTCAACTAAACCATGGAGACGCGAAAAACAGCTATTTTTATATCGTTACAATATTTTCATAGTTCAGATAATTCATTGGCAACATTTGTCCACGCTTATGCAAAGTGAAATTTTTGCCAAACATGCAAGAAATCAAACACGACCAAGCAAAATAATGAGGTCACCATTACGGTCAAGCTTCAAACTATCATACGAGCTATATATTTCAGTTTTAACATGTGTATATAGTTTAAACCATAGCTCACGCCTGTTTTAATTTAAAAAGAAAAAGTCCACATCACACGCCACACACAATACAGGAGTATAACTGGACATAAAAAGTAAAGAAGATCTATAGTTATACAATCTATCTTTCTATAATATATTGGTGTTTTGAAGCTCAACTTTATGTTAGTTGTGTTTAAAGACGTTCTCATTCAAGCTCCTGTGATGCCCATATTTTGGACGAAATCGCATCTCAATTGTTTTATATTTTCTAATCTTTATTAGTAAATGTAATCTTAAATCACTGAATAAGACAATTTTCGCCATCCATTCGTTTAATATATAATTTTAAAGATAGCTGGAAGGATAAATATAGTTCGACTTTCAAATAGACGCTCATAGATGTTTATTATTCCCCTAGTATTTCATATATCTAACGGTCACCAGATGTGCGTGACCAAGCTTCAGTGAAGCAGGTGCAAATGTATAACACAGGCATTGTATTATAATTTGGTGCGTCATCCACACGAAGTGTGCTTGCGTGGGAAGTTATTCTGCCTATTCAGTTTTTAAGTGAAAATGCGTGACTTAAGTCTTTTCACCTTTTTTTAAAAACTAATATCAGTAAAAACAATGGAGGCACATAGAGATAAAAATAGAAGGACATGTCACATTGTCATCGTTAAAATAAGAGACGCGAACAAATTGGACCATTGGGTACAATTAATTATCGTTGTAGTTTTCCAGCATTGTTTTAACATCGTTTTAATTTCAGGCTCTTGCACTACGACTAAATGTTATATTACTGATTTCTGTAGCGTATCAAGCAATGAAATCTGCAGGATATTCAACTTTCACCCTTCTGCTTCTTTTTGGATTGTTTCCAGAAACTAAAACAAGCAATTGTTCGAAATGTAAGTACAATTTAACAATTCAAGATCGCGCGGTTAAACCCTAACATATATTTTTGTGTATGAAATCGTATGATAATTATTATACACTAGAACCAGTATACTATTTATTTTATGGATTAAATTATTTGAAAGGCATTAAAAAATATAGGGTATTTGTAATTGAATGCCTTTATAACCGTTACCAATAGCGCAGCCAACCCGACAATTTGGTCATGCTACGTTAACATTTTGGTGTTCATTGACTGTGAAAACAATGAATTTCTAAGAAATGAATAATTATAATCACATAAAATTTGCATGGCATGACTAAATCGTCAGGCTGGCTACGCCACTTCATGACAGTTCCCGATTAGCAAGTACAAGTAAATGATCTATTATATCACACCTACAAAGGATTCTATATACAAGCTATCGTTGGCTTTTAAATTTAACAATTGTTATTATTAATGCATTTTTGGTAAACCCTCAAGTATAACTATATTTGAGTCAAATTTCCGTGGCTATTCTATTGTCTTTGTTAAAAATGTCTGTCATACAGTTTTCATTATAGTTGTTTAAAAATTTTTAAATGGGAACTGACATGACAATTTCACTTCTTCTCGACATTTGCATTCTTATATACAAATGCTTCGTAGCGAATCCGTAAATGAAAAATTATTATGAAATAACATGTATAAACGCGTGTTTTGATTGCTCGAAGCCTGTGTTTGGATCAGGCCATCCACACACGGGAACCATTGTAATTGTATAATACTATATATAGGAAACACTTGCGTTATTTTATTAATGTATATTACTACTTCGTATAATCTAAAATAATTTCGCGAGGCACGATTTCAAAATTTCAGGCCTTTCTCGGCGTTTATGCCTAAAAGCCTTTTTCAGTCCTAACCTCGTACCATGGGTGATTTTGCTGTGTACGATGTTGCTCCAGTCTTTGGGCTCATTAAAAAAGTCATCATCTATCCAAAAAATAATGTCCTTAATCCTTATAACCAATTCACTAAGTATAAGACTTGCATGCATTTGATATAATACAGAACCTGAAATAAAGAAACAAGCCTAACAGGTCGAGAAGTGTTTTTGTCTATTTTAGGCAGTTGTTATACCGCATTTGACACTATAACTATAATATCATTATTGTTAAAATGTATTCACAAGAACGACATTGCATTTTCCGTCTTAATTATAAAGTATTAGTCTGAAAGAAATTCTAAATTATATGAATCCGCCCTTGTCGCACGCACAATACGTCAACTGTCACTGCATGTATAAGACCGACACTTAATAAAACACTTCTGTCGCTATTTCGGTATATAGGATTGTTGATCAACGCCGAGGTAAGTCTTGCCGAAGACAATATTAATGAACTATAATTATTAAGTTTTATTCTGGATAGGACTGTACGTCAAGGCTTGCTGTAATATATTTCCGTTGCTGATATGGCGTCCCTTATTGCGGGTTATTCTTAGCCCACAATCAGGCGTCTCTTTGGCAACGTAATGTATTCCAATTTGTTTTCAATTTTTGGCTTCTATTGGCCCATTTTTATTACTGTACATGTTTTGCCCCCATACCAAACATCTGTTCTCGCCTATTTATTTTCATACTAACTCTCCTGAAGAAGGCCCTCTGGTCGAAACGTCGAGAAGTGTTTTTGTCTAGCATATTTTTTACAAATGAACAAATAACTTAAAAACGTGGTGTGATAATATTTTTCTAACAGGCGTTGAGAAGACATGTGAATAAAAAGACATGTCAAATCGAAGGCGGTTTATTAATTTATGGCTATTTTAAGAATTTTCAGAAAAACCTGTCTGATTGGAAACTTTCAATATTTAGGCTTTTTAGATTGTAACGAAGTAAATTTCCATGCAATTGTCAATACTCTTAAGGGTATGTCAAGCCAAACACGGATACGCTTTGAAAGCACAACGCCAAAAGTATTCACAGTAATGCGGAAAACCAAGAAATTCTTAAAGCAAATTGAAGCTCAATACAGCTCGACTCCACAATAGCGCGAAAATCAATATATTAATTAACCGATAAGGATTAGAAAAAGATGTTGCGAAAAGAAATGCGAATTGAGTTTACATTTGATTTTACATTATATGTAATTTAAGTGGTAAACATGATTAACCCCTATAATTTATATTATGACAATTATATTAAGCATGCAGGGCTGAGGCTCGAAGCTTGTTTGAGGAGTATAGTAAGGCTTGTTTCTAACGTCATATTTTTTCATGTGTCGAATGCAATTGTTTGAATTATCTGCATATGAGATACGACATCTGAAACAATTGAATTCGCTCCCTTTAACTGCGGTCGACCGTGATGCTAAATTCGACTGTTCCGGTCCGGTCGCATTATGCGAGCTGGGTGCGACGTGGCTTCAGAGGTCGCATTTTGCATGTGTCGAATTCAATTCGCTTGAAGAGAAAGGCAAAGAACGTCATGCATGTTATGATATTGAAAGGCACTCGTATGGAAATATGGCCGTGGCCTGGACAAAAAAATGAACCAGAACAATTGTCTTGTATTACGTGTGCATGAAAGCTCACAAAATACATTTGCTTACCGCGTCTGTTTCTAATCGTTGCGCAGTACACCAACAAAACGAAGAATCCCAAGGCTGGCTTACTGCATGTGAACCAGTTAATAATAATTATGAGGAAAATAATAGCAAGAAAAGATTTCTAGAAACATGATTTTTTTATTTATGCGCAAGCGGACTGTCGCTGATCATATAAGGAATAGAGGCTGAAATATTTTAATTCAACACATGCATGCGAAATGCGACATTTGAAATGACGGTTGGATTAATGTTTTAGTGTCGAATCTAATGGGAATTATAATATAACATTTATAGTACGCGCGTGCTGATTGGTCGAGAAGCGTGTTTCTATAACTGTATAGAAACACGAGAATTTTCCCGCCGAACTTGACAAGCGAAGCGATGTAATGAGAATTTGTAATTGAATCGAATTATAATATTTGTACAAAATCTTTTTATTGAGTTATATTATAAGAGAAATAGAAAACATTTTTTCCTGTGTTTCTATACAGTAATAGAAACACTTGTGGGAGTTTGGGAGAACTCGAAATAACGTGGAAAAACCCACTGATTATTTCTCGTTCTCCCAAACTTCCACGCGTGTTTCTATAACTGTATAGAAACACGGAAAATGTTTTCTATTTCTTAATTGGAAAATGCGACGTTTGAAACAGGCCTAAGAGACAGTCGAAGTCAGATACTATAAAAGTGCAGATTATACTAGCCTATTGTTGGTATAACAAAAGTAAAGTGTGGAAGTAAATTCGTGATTAACATCGGTCTGTGCAACGATATTTCAAGAATCGGTGGCTGAAAGGCTAACATTTGCTACCAAACTCTCATTTCCCATCCATGAGTCTGTTTATAGGTTATGACATCTATCTATATAAACTGTCTAATGTTTGTACTAAATAATAAAATTTTGCGGCTTCTATTCCAGCTATAAAATGTTTGAAAGACCTCCCTGACTACAAAATTCGTTTGATTGGAGAATGGTTGGTGATCGATTGTACTGTTAACACAATTGATGATGTTACGCTGTGGTTTGGTAACAAGAATGTGACTGTTGACAACAAGAGAGTATTCTTGGTTTCCAAGAATGTCTTCAACTTGACAAATCTAACGCAAGATATGCAAAGCAAGAGCGGTAAAGAGTACACCTGTCGGGCTTGTGGACGAAATATTTGTGGTACCAAATCACTTGGAATCTACCTTTTGACAGGTGAAGCGTGATTCTTATAAGTAGCTAAATGTAACCAAGGTAACTTCCATGCCTAGAACGAAAGCCTGTTTCAATATATTGATTTCGCCATGCATCAATTCTATGATTCACATCGGCAATTCACAGCTTGGTTTTGTGTTGGCCTTGTTTTCATGGAAAGAAAATTTTGTTAAATACGGAAAATATAGCCATGCAAAGTTGTCGAATTTTGTATACTTTTGTATTACGGCCGGAAGTGTGTAACTAATTTAGTTGCACATTTTCGCACGTAATACACAAATAGCTAAAAATATACAAATTATGCTAACTTTGCAAGGCTATATTTTCGGTAATTATCAAAATTTCACAGCAAAACTTTGCATTTCCACTAATTCAAGTACGCTCTTTTTAACCGTGGTGATTTATTTTTTTCCTATTCCTTCGATCAAACATTAGTCTTAAGTGCAAGTCGTCCATACCCGATTACACCAAATTAAAACTATAGAAAAGTTTATCAGTATACTTATATTGAGTAGTGTTGAAATGTGTAAAAACAGAGTATTAAAAAAACTATTCAAATATTCTTAAAATTTATATGGAAAACAACCGAAATAAATTGATTGTTTTAACGACGTTTTAATGGTTTTAACCAATGAAGCATTGGTCCAATTAATGAATCTGCAAGAGTTAATCAACTTTAGATTTTTTACTCTTTTTACAGCGCATCAGTGAAAAATGCTTTAGTTACAGTACCAATTATCCCCGCGCCCTGCGAGGGTACTAATTCCGCTGGGATTTTAATTACACCTGGGAATTGTGACAGAACTTAAAGCGGAATCCAGAGTTGCCCAAATTCTATGTCACGAACCATGGAAGCTCAATTGTTATGGTACTCATGTGCACGCGCAAAATTTGAACGAGTTAAGACACAGGTAGCCCGCTATTGGATTTGATTTTAGTTAAATATTAAATAAATTCTATGCAAAACGACATGAAGTGTCACCTTCCTTCATTCACTACTGACATATTATCGCAGGCGCCAATTCGTGCGGTGCAGTGTACCTTTATGTATATATTAATATAAGGTTGGCAACTCTTTGTCGTTTTTTCACATTTACGAATTACATACACAAACTTACACATAAAAATACTTGTATTTAAACACAAAAATATACGCAAAAAACTAAATCTATGTGGGAACTGACTCTTCTAAAACATTTCCGAAACATTTGTTTGTCTTTAAAGCCATTGCAAATATGTTAAATTTACGAAAATACAAACACTTTTTGGTTGAATTTTTTGAAAAGCCGTCGGGATCCCATCACCCTGCCCTACGTCACAGCAAACACGCAATATGATTGGCTGGTTGAGTCCCGTTAACGTAAACAAATTTCAAATTCAAAGCTAAGCCAATCATATTGCGTGTTTGCTGTGACGTAGGGCAGGGTGATGGGATCCCGACGGCTTTTCAAAAAATTCAACCAAAAGGTGTTTGTATTTTCGTAAATTTCACATATTTGCAATGGCTTTAAAGACAAACAAATGTTTCGGAAATGTTTTAGAAGAGTCAGTTCCCACATAGATTTAGTTTTTTGCGTATATTTTTGTGTTTAAATACAAGTATTTTTATGTGTAAGTTTGTGTATGTAATTCGTAAATGTGAAAAAACGACAAAGAGTTGCCAACCTTATATTAATATATACATAAAGGTACACTGCACCGCACGAATTGGCGCCTGCGATAATATGTCAGTAGTGAATGAAGGAAGGTGACACTTCATGTCGTTTTGCATAGAATTTATTTAATACTTAACTAAAATGAAATCCTATAGCGGGCTACCTGTGGTTAAGACAGCAAATTAGCAACTTGCTGATTGGCTAAGACGAAACGTTTTGTGTTTCAGTGAAAAACGTCAGCAATTTAACTGTCATTTTGCAAACAATTTTTCTAAAAAAATGTTTTGAAACACAATATGAAATGCATGTCGAATCACATAAAATTATATATACATGAAATGGTTGCTGTCTACTTTGTTAATTTCGATGTTCATTTCGTGCCTCCTTTACGAATATGTTTTATGATCTTGCTACAGTATGTCGTCTTGCTAGGTTTTGCGAAGACATTAAAACTATTTAAGGCTTTACAATTTATACATCATCATTTTAACTCCACAGAGTTTCTTAAAGCGTTTCAGAGTTTTGTTTAAATTCACTTTAAGTTTTGTAGAGTCGACTCCAATCACTGCTGAATTCAATATCGAAAACAATCGACGTTAACTGCTTGGTCATTTATATTATACTTGTGTTGTTTTAATGTTTTGAATTAAGGTTTAGCTATAGTGAAGTATTAACTCTCACTGTGAAAGTCTATAACTTCATGCAACGTAATGCAGCAGGAAAACGGGTGATTTAACTTCACCTTTTAATACGACAGTGTTTGTTTCCGAAAAATTTTAAATATCAGTTATCGGCTTAACATTTAGCTCATTTTAAAATATTGAAGGTTAGGTCTGGCTATGGCTCAGGAAATATTTTGCTTCGTTTCAAATGGCAAGGGGTTGCTGCATGCATGTATTTCTATTAAGCTAAATATTTTGTACATTTTTCTGATGACGTGTCCCGGTCAATTAGCGTTTAATGAGAAGCGGTTACAAAAAAATAATTTTAGTCCCTTAAAAATATTATGATCATGCATAATAAAAATATTTTACCGTTTTTAGAACCAAAGGCTTACGCGGTTCCAGTAATAAAGAAAAACCCGGATAACTCTGTATATGATATTGGAGGCAGTGTTAAATTGGAATGTCATGTTGAAAAAGCCTCCAACAAGTATAGATTTAAATGGAGAAAAGTCGGGTCTAGCAAAATAATTACCGAAGATACGAAACTGAGCCTGAAATCATTATCAGAAAGTGACACGGGGACATATGAATGCGAATTAAGTCGTTTTGCTGTGCGTTATATAACCTACAAGTCCGTGAAAATATCTGTGAAAGGTAAGGTTTAATTATTCTCTATTCTCAAAAGCAATTTAACATTAATTATCATATTATTTGAAGACACAGAAGAAGTTAAAGTTGGGCAGTGATTGAGGTGGTTTTATATTATAGGCCTTTATTCTAATATTTGGAACAAAAATTTGATAATTATCAAAATTCGAATTATTAAAATTTGATAATTTTCAGATTACTCAATTGAATTGACCATAACAAAAAAGATGGCGGGGGTACATTTTACCAAATTGCATTGCGGTCGGAAATCTTTTAAAAAGGCGAACTGACGTCTTTTAAAGGACACGCATAAAACAGGAAGTTATTTTCTTCGCTGTGTTAAAATTTGATGTCATTAGAAGATTTTCTCGCCATCTTTTTTCAGTCAATCATTATTAATGCCCGCAATGCATTCTGATAAAATGTACATGCCGCCATCTTTTTTGTTACGGTCAATTGCAAACATAGCTACTTCGTCATTTGTGTTTCCTTTTATAGATAGCCTCATGCAGGGAGCAGACTGAGCCGTCGGTAATTCGCGCGCTTCCTGAGGTTTCCCTGTTTTGTTGTGTATAGATAAGCTTCATCTCAGAAAAATTTCCTTTTAATTAATTATGGAAGTTTTTTGCCTGGCAAATTTTGAACAACGGCGAAGTTATGAAAATAAATGTTTTGCCTCTATTGACGAATGTTATATCTCGAAGCGATATCTTTTTCCCCAAGCCGGTGCGGAGCACCGTGCGAGTGTACTAATTCCGCTCGGATATTTACACCCACCATGTGCAAATGCCAAATCAAAGTCGTCCGCCATTATGCAATGGACCTCACGCCATGGACAGTCTTCTACGTTAAGCGCATGCGTGTGAACTACTAAGCCCTTCATTGGTCGATACAAAAAATTGTATTTTCAAACGTCAATATGAGTAATTGTCATTTCGCAAAATTTTTATGAAATTTATATTTTCGTAAAATTAATATGGAATATATGCATTTTTAATTAATTAGAGGAAAAGTCGAATCTGGTGAGGACTTTTCACGGTTTAACAAATAAAGACCAAATTTTCGACCGAAGTCATCGTGTATAATGAAGTCGTAAGACTTTAATCTTGATAACATTTCATCCAGCACAGCTTTAAAAAAATATTCTTTTGTGGTAAACACAACTCTGAAATGTATTTCACTATAAATCTGAATGTGTTATGTAATATACGACAATATATGAATTCATTTATAAACTTCGTTTGCATAATGACAAAAATTAAAAAAACTCAAAACATTCCCGTGCAAAAATCAGGCCAGGCATAACATATAAAACTTCGGAAGTTGCATGTATGAGACGTCTCATGTTATATTTCATGGTAATTAATAATTAAAATAATTTACCATAAAACTGACTCTAGATGAGCAACTTAACTTCCAGAAAAAGTAAGAAACCTGTCGTATTTAACGAACACGAGGGAAAACTCTTTAACTAATTTCGTTTAACCGAGGCGAGGGGTTGCTGCATGCATGTATTTCTTGTAAAAAAATAATTTTACCATGCTATATATAACGTTAAGTTCATACCATACACATGCAATGTATCATACGTTACACTATTACTGCATGTTCCTGTAAAAACGTATGAGGTTGTTGACTTCAATGTTTGCCGTAGTTATAACGTTACTCATTTGACATGATAGCTTTTCAAATAACCGTTTTTATCGTGTTAAGAAAGGACTAACATAAATAAAATGTGCGTATCACGGCGATTGATCCACAATTCAACATTTGGCGGGATATTAAACTTGAGAAATTTTGCATCAAATGTGGTATACCTAATGCTTAAAATAAACAAGACAAATCGTTGGGAAACCCTTCGTGGACATTTGTGATTAAAAATTACCCGTGTATAGCGAATCTGGTTCCGCCTCTCAGTAGGAAATTAACTCGATGCAGCAGGCATGCAATTATTGTTTTCTTTATCAGTATATATGGAGGTACATTCGAAGGAATTACGATTCATAAAGGCACCGAAAATTTTCATTCAAGCTTTTCTGAATGAATAAATCACTGGATCTGTATTACATGTGTTCATATTTCTTAACGTGGGTTGAAAAGACATGTAAATGAAATATTAAAGTCACAAATCGGTTTTTCCGAAATTTATGTAAGTCGAGTCCAGTGCAATTACCTGCACAGTTTTACCGGTATGAGTGGGTATTTGGATTGAATGTTTATTTGAACCATTAGATCCATATACAGCATCATTAGCTTTTTGATGAAATGCGTCGTCCAATGTATATTTGCAAAGATATTAGTTAGGACATGCTTGCGTCAATTGAGCTAAATATTTAGAAACTATGGATTTAGTAGCAAACCATGCAAGAGACAGGCGAAATATATCAAAAAGTATAGAATTTTAGAAAACTCATGATCGAAGTGAAAATTATCAAATTTTTCCATGACGACTATCTTTTATCGAAAAAACACAAGCCACAACGGTGATATCTGCAGCGTATTAACTACCAAAATCTTTTGTATAGGTCCACAGGCTCCAGATATTCGCATAAAGGATTTACGCCCAGTCTTTCGTGAGGAAGAAGGAAAGCCTTTCTTACTATTGTACAACGTGTCGTCCTACCCACCCTCTGATATTTCCTGGTGGAAATCTAGAGATAAAATAACCTGGGAAAATATGGTGAAATGTTCAAGTGCAGGAATTTGTGAAGGACACGAAACAAATACGAACATTACAACGAATAGCTTTAAAATGGAGGATCTTGAATTTCCTAAACACAATCTTTTCTACAAGTGTAACGCAAGTAACATGTACGGAAGCGACTCAAAATCTTTTCAACTGCTGGTCTATGGTAATGTATGATAATTATTTTAATGATTCGAGTGTAATGCTATTATCATTTTCATGCAAGAAAAGATTACATGCGAATTGTAATATTGTCATCATTTCGGAAAATATTTCGCCGAATCCCCCTCACTCCAGGTCTATAAAATTAATGATAAATGAATCATTCCAAATAGCTAAAAGCAATTTAACAGCGAAACTAGCTGTTCGTATGATGCAGATTTAAACATGACAAACCGAATATCAAATTTGTACCAACGGCGATGTCAAACCTCTAACGTGAAACGACAGTTTGCAGTTTGGCGGATACGTCGAACTAAAACTCTTTAATATGCATCATATGCATAATTTACCGAATATCGATCAGCGGTTTCACATCATATTCTCGCAACATGAAATTAGCTAATTTGTAAATTCTCCCTCGCTATTTTTAATTTCTCTCGCCGAGCATACATCTTAAATTATTTTCTTGTCAAAAGAAATTGAGCAATAAACATATTATGACTTCTCTGTTAACTGGCTAATGTTTGTACTAATTAATAAAATTTTGAAACTTCTATTTCAGCTATAAAATGTTTGAAAGACCTCCCTGACTACAAAATTCGTTTGATTGGAGAATGGTTGGTGATCGATTGTACTGTTAACACAATTCACAATGTTACGCTCTGGTTTGGTAACAACGAAATGACTGTTGACAATAAGAGAATATTCTTGGTTTCCAAGAATGTCTTCAACCTGACAAATATAACGCAAGACATTGGTAGCAACAAAGGCAAAGAGTATACATGTAGGGCATCTGGACGTAATGTTTGTGGTACAAAATCCCTTGCAATCTACACTTTATCAGGTGAAGCCTAATTTTTATATGCATCTAAACGTAACGAAAGGTACATGAATGCATAAAACTTCCGCCTGTTTGAATATATTCATTTCGCCATCAATTCTATAATTCATATCGGCATTCATAGCTTCGTTTTGTGTTGGCCTTTTTTTGATAGAAAGAAAAGCCAATAATAATAATAATTTAGGTAGACCAATTCCCAATTACAGGGACGCCAGAAGATCGATAATTGGGAGGGGGGCATATATTTATATATTCAAGTTCACAGACCGTAAAAACAATCGATTTCAAAAGAAACCAATAATGCAGAATTATCCATGTTGCGACGTGCATGCCCGATTAAACCAAATTAAAACTATAGAAAAGCTTAAGTAATTTAGCTTGCAGGTACACCGCATAAGTATTTAACACTGCAAAGCTTTCGGTCCGTTAACGCGGGCCTTCATCAGTGCAATTACCTGAATACACATTAATATTACAAAAAATATATAAACATCACACTATCGCCCAAGAGGGTAAGCCACTCAATAGTACGTGGCGTGCTCTTTTCAATGTCTGCTAGCTAAATAAGTGACGTGTGAATGTGTATGCAGGTATAATTGCACTGATGAAGGCCCAAGTTTACGGACCGAAAGCTTTGCAGTATTAAATATTTAAGTGGTCTACCTAGAAGCTTAATTACTTATCGACTGTCGCCATGCAAACATACAAGTATATGATTATAGAAAAGTTTATCAGCACTCTTACATTGAGTAGTGTAAAAATGTGTAAAAACATAGAATTAAAACAACTAGTCTAAAATTGCTAAAAAATTTATCTGGGAAAACACCCAAAAAAATTGTTTGTTTTCATCACGTTTTAATCATTTTAACCAATGAAACATTGGTCCAATTAATGAATCTGAATGAGATTATCAACTTTAGATTGTTTACTGTTTTTACAGCGCATTAGTGAAAAATGCTTTGGTTACAGCACCAATTTTAGAAAATGTTGTAAGCTAAATATTTAGTATATTTTACTGATGACGTGTCTGCCGGTCAATTAACGTTTAATGAGAAGTGGTTACAAAAGCAATTTGAGTCACTTAAAAATATTACAGTTATAATGAAATATTTCACTGTTTTTAGAACCAAAGGCTTACGCAGTTCCAGAAATAACGAAAAAGCCGGATTACTCTGTATATGGTATTGGAGGCAGTGTTGAGTTGGAATGTCATGTCGAAAAAGCCTCCAACAAGTATAGATTTAAATGGAGAAAAGTCGGGTCTAGCAAAGTAATTCGCGAAGACAGGAAACTGCCCCTGAATTCATTATCAGAAAGTGACACGGGGACATATGAATGCGAATTAAGTCGTTATGCTGTGCGTTATATAACCTACAAGTCCGTGAAAATATCCGTGAAAGGTAAGGTTTAATTATTCTCTATTCTCAAAAGCAATTTAACATTAATTATCATATTTGAAGACGCAGAAGAAGTTAAAGTTGGGCAGTGAATTTGAATTGCAAACATAGCTACTTCGTCATTTGTGTTTCCTTCTAGCCTCAGGAGGCTAACTGAGAAGTCGGTCATTCGCGCGCTTCCCGAGGCTTCCCTGTTTTATTGTGTAAATAAGCTTCATTTCAGAAAAATTTCCTTTTAATTAATTATGGAAATTTTTTGCCTGGCAAATTTTGAACAACGGCGAATTTTTGAAAATAAATGTTTGCCTCTATCGACGAATGTTGTATCTCGAAGCGATATATTTTTCCCCTAGCCGGTGCGGAGCACCGTGCGAGTGTACTAATTCCGCTCGGATATTTACACCCACGATGTGCAAATTCGAAATCAAAGTCGTCCGCAATTATGCAATGGACTTCACGCCATGGACAGTCTTCTACGTTATGCGCATGCGCCAGTGTGAACTACTAAGTTCTTCATTGGTCGAGACAAAAAATTGTATTTTCTAACGTCAATGAATAACTGTCATTTCGCAAAATTTTGATGAAGTTTATAAATTTATATAAACTTTCGTAAGTTGGAATATATGCATTTTTAATTAATTAGAGGGAAAGTCGAATCTGGTGAGAACTTTTTACGGTTCAACAAATAAAAAGACCTAATTTTCCACCAAATTTACTTTATATAATGAAGTCGGAAGACTTTACACTTGATAATATTTCATCCGGCACTGCATTAAAAAGTTATTCTTTTGTGGTAAACACAACTTTAATATTCTAAAATGTATTTCACTATAAATCTGAATGTGTTATGTAATATACGACAGTATAAATTCATTTATAAAACATTTCCGAGCAAAAACCAGGCCAGGCATAACATAAAACTTCGGAAGTTGCATGTATGAGACGTCTGATGTTATATATCATGGTAATTAATAATTAAAATAATTTACCATAATACTGACTATAGATGAGTAACGTAACTTCCAGAAAAAGGTATAAGAAACCTGTCGTATTTAACGAACACGAGGGTAAACTCTTTAACTAATTTCGTTTAACCGAGGCGAGGGGTTGCTGCATGCACGTATTTCTTGTCAAAAAAATTTTACCATGCTATATATAACGTTACGTTCATACCATGCGCATGCAGTGTATCATACGTTGCACTATTACTGCATGTTCGTGTAAAAACGTATGGGGTTGTTGACTTCAATGTTTAGCGTAGCTATAACGTTACTCATTTGACATGATAGCTTTTCAAATAACTGTTTTTATCGTGTTAAGAAAGGACTAACATAAATAAAATGTGCGTATCACGGCGATTGATCCACAATTCAGCATTTGGCGGGATATTAAACTTGAGAAATTTTGCATCAAATGTGGTATACCTAATACTTAAAATAAACAAGACAAACCGTTGGGAAACCCTTCGTGGACATTCGTGATTAAAAAGTACCCATATAGTTATAGCGAATCCGGTTCCGTCTCTCAGTAGGAAATTAACTCGATACAGAATACATGCTATTATTGTTTTCTTTATCAGTATGGAGGTACATTCGAAGGAATTACGATTCATAAAGGCACCGAAAATTTGCATTCAAGCTTTTCTGAATGAATAAATCATTCGATCTGTATTGCATGTGTTCATATTTCTTAACGTGAGTTGAAAAGCCCTTTAAAATGAAATATTAAAGTCACAAATCAGTTTTTCACGAAATTTACGTAAGTCGATCGAGTTCAGTGCAATTACCTGCACAGTTTTACCGGTATTTGGATTGAATGTCTATCTGAACCATTAGATCCATATACAGCATCATTAGCTTTTTGATGAAATGCGTCCAATATATATTTGCAAAGATATTAGTTAGAAAATGCTTGCGTCAATTGAGCTAAATATTTAGAAACTATTGATTTGGTAACAAACCATGCAAGAGACAGGCAAAATATATCAAAAAGTATAGAATTTTAGAAAACTTATGATCGAAGTAAAAATTATCAAATTTTTCCATGACGACTATCTCTTATATATCGAAAAAACACAAGCCATTAGGGTTATATCTGCAGCGTATTCACTACCATCATCTTTTGTATAGCTCCGAAGGCTCCAGATATTCGCATAAAGGATTTACGCCCAGTCTTCCATAAGAATGAACGAGAGACTTTCGTACTATTGTACAACGTGTCGTCCCACCCACCCTCTGATATTTACTGGTGGAAATCTAGAGATAAAATAACCTGGGAAAAAATGTGTTCAAGTTCAGAAATTTGTGAACAAGACGAAAAAAATACGAATATTACAACGAATGGCTTTAAAATAGAGGATCTTGAATTTCCTAAAAACAATCTTTTCTACAAGTGTAACGCAAGTAACAAATACGGAAACGACTCAAAATCTTTTCAGCTGCTAGTTTATGGTAATGTATGATAATTATTTTAACGATTCGAGTGTAATGCTATCATTATCATTTTCATGCAAGAAAAAATTACATACGAATTGTAATAATATCATCATTTCGGAAAATATTTCGCCGAATCGGTTTTACGTCATATTTTTGCAACATGAAATTAGCTTATTTGTTAATTTGTAATTTCTTACAGTGAAACCGAAGATTAAAAAAATGCAGGATATGGTATTCAAGCAAGGAATCTTGATTAATTGTACTCTGATGAACAAAGAGAAAATAAATCCTCCAAAAGTAAACTATACTTGGCACTCGCAGATTCGCACTGGTGAAGAAAAAAAATGGAAGCTTGAGGCGAAATCATCCTCCTTACGACTTGATACTCTACCAAAATCTAAAATGACGTATCAATGCAGAGCCGAAAATTCCGCTGGTGAAGCAACTGAGGAAGTGAACGTGTTTGGTAAAAAAACAAGCGATGATTAGAATTTCAACAGTTAGATGATTAGAAATTCATTAAAACTGAACCGACGTGAGACGTTTACTCTCTGTTATAGAAAGTTATAGTGGCACATACAGACAAATACATGAGAATCTAAGACCTGACTATGATTTATTTTCCTAGCACCTACTAAAACAGTCGTAAAATCGTCGAACCAGAAAACAACCCCCTTAATCGTGGTTCCAGTTGGCATTGTATTGTTAATCATTTTCACATTCCTGTGTTTCGTGTTATGCAAAAGGAGAAAACTCTATGGCGGGTTTTACCTTTTCTCGTATCCACCGTTGCCAGATTTCATTGAGATGATTGATGAAAATGAGAATTTACATAACGAAATTCAACGACTGCCCTTTATTGCTGAATGGGAATTTCCAAGAGAAAGAGTAAAGTTTGGTAAGTGTATACATTATTGTTGATAAAGACTGCGATGAATTGGACTATACTATAATTTTCATTGTGCGTTATTTTGTATTATATCAGTTCGTGAACTTGGTGCTGGACAGTTTGGGGTTGTTTGGTTAGCAGAAGCAACTGGCATATCCTCATTCCACCCGAGGGAAATATTGCGAGAAAAGGAAGGTAGAACAAGGTTTTTCTTCTTCAATCACATGATGAGGAGAAACAGTTACGTCTGTTGCAAGAAGATAACTAATGTTGCGGTGAAGACTGTCAAAGGTTTGAGTTGCAAATTGAAAATCAATAGATTTCACAGTAGAAAATCAAAGCTGGAAAAGATGAAATTTTCGTTTCGTTTAAGTTTTTCTTGTTTCGATAATATTTGATTGAACCCGACTTTCTTTGTTGCAGCGGATTATGTTGAATCAAGTGTTGCTGATATAAAAGCTGAGCTAAAGATCTTAATTCATGTTGGTGAACACGAAAACATCGTGAATATACTAGGCGCTTGTACGAAAGGTAACGAATCCTGTATTACCATTATATTCTTAAAGATCTTATTCCAGAATTCAGGATTAAAATAATTTTATTAGCAATCAAATTTGCCTTGTCATCCTTGAATAAATTTTCAATTTTGAGTTATCTATTCCACTGAATGGTGACTATAGTTGACTAAATAGGTGTATTGTTTTGACGTGCATGCTTTATATGATAATATTTATATAATATTCCAGAATCAGAGATCATTTTTCCCAACAGGAAGAAGTTCAAACCTGTGGATTATTATGGAGTACTGTCCAAACGGCAATCTTCGGGAATTCTTGAGACAAAACCGAGACAAATACAGCTTAGAGGTGGATTGGTTAGTCGACGATCTCTCGCAGGGTTTTGGTCCGAAAAATTTGATGTATTTTGCTTTGCAAATTGCAAAAGGGATGGCATTTTTGATCTCGCGAAAGGTAACTATCGTCCGCATGAGTGAGTCTTCAAATCTTCGCTGATTGCGAACACACGATAGATGTTATCGCATTTCAATTTGTGTAAGGTCTTTTTTTTTTTTAGCAAGTTCTAGCAAGTTAAACGTAAATGCAGCGAACGACATGCTATTTTGATTGAACGTCAGTCATAAAAAAGCCGGACAGATCTGTTTCTTTTTCAAAGTTACTTGCGTCGTAAGCCTGGCCATATTGATTGGTTTTTTGGAATAACTACCTGAAGCTGAAAAATAGATTTTCTGGCTAAAAATGAACTCCTTGCACTGATTTCTTCTAAGTATTTGCTGCGAAATATAAAAGCCAGTATTGCTGGTTTAGAAATAAACAACCCGGGATTCTACATCACTTGCATGACGTCATTCTTGTAAGTCACTTTTCTGCCATGGGAAGGTTTTCAGAATTGAGTGTCTGTAACGTCAATAATAGTAAATTGGGGGAATATGGAATTATGATTGGATAATTTATATGCATATGCTGGCTTAGAACATTTATCTACAACATTACCATGGCCTATAAACTCTATTTTCTCTCAATTTTTGACGAACCCTGCATATTTTGAAGATCATTCATCGAGATCTTGCTGCACGAAATATTCTAATCGGTAATGACTACATAGCCAAGGTTGGGGACTTTGGATTGGCAAGAGATGTTGAAAAATATCATCATTACTTGAAGAAATCGACGGTACGAGTTTTAACATTCTACTTTATATAGTACGTTTTATCTTTCTTTCCTCCCTAAATATGGATCAATCTGTCCGGTCAAGCAGTCCCGAACCTGTCCAGAACTGTTCTTTCCTTGCCTTATAAACACACACACACACATGCAGGGCTGTAGCTAGAGCCTTTGTGTTTTGCCGGACTGATTTCGTTTGTACGCTGTTGTTTCTATGATATTTAAACATGAGTATATTAATACATCTTCCCCAAATTAAACCGTTTATATACCGCCCTGCACACACAAGGGTTTAGAAACACGGCTTTACCTGACTTCAGGGCCGTAGCTAGAATATTATTTGGGGGGGAATATAAGTAAATTCGTCTTCGCCCTCCCTCTTCACTAAATCTGTAAGCAAAAGTAAGATAGCCTTTATAAAAAAAATAGGTAAGCCGTAAGGGCTCATATAACTGCATGGTTTTATTGCTACAAAAGGAAGTGTGCATGCAAAGTTTTCGACATACGATAACTCACTTTCCGACAACTGCATTGTTGCAAAAATGCAAATTTTCATGCCTTTTATTTGTAGGGAATGGTTCCAATGAAATGGTTGGCTATCGAGTCTATTAGAGATTCAATATTCACAGAGAAGTCTGACGTGTAAGCGAAAATTTTTTTGTGATCCTATACACAGGATCCAAAAGGGGTAAAACGGGAAATGGGATCTTTTTACGCTGGTAAAAAAAGTGTTCACTGTTTTCCCGGCCGTTGCATTTTTAGATCTTGAATTGTCTATTTTTCTCGACATTTCTTGCCCAAATTTAGGTGGTCATATGGCATTTTACTTTGGGAGATTTTTGCATTAGGTAAGTACGTATATATTATTCCTTATAAACCCTGAAATACGCAGGATCCTTTGTTTCCGTCTTACATGAATCAAAATTTACAGATTAGCATTTTAGGTAAATGTTTCTCGCTGTATGTTCACGAATTTGACTGAGAATAACTGTCGCTATAGGAGCAAATGATAATCTCTTCAGGTTTCTCTCATATTAATGTGATTAAGCCGACATATAGACCAAAGGATATAATTATTATGAATCGCTAATCCTCTGTTCCTTTACATGTAGGAGGTAATCCGTACCCCGGAGTGCATATCAACGATTTTTACCTATTTTTGTTGAGTGAGAAGAGAATGCAGCCACCAATTCATTGCCCTGTGGAGAGGTACAAGTAATAAAGGCATTGCATGAAAGAAAAGGGGGAAAGAACGGCTTCCACTTTTTCTTTTTCAACGATGACGATGAATTACTTTCTCTAATCCTCTTACGTAACATTCAGTTAAAAAAATTGATAAAAACATGAACTTACTAGAAATTTTTGTGACATTTAGCTAATTTTCGTGAAATATTTATGAATAAAAAGTCCCTTAGGTCTAGCCGCCATCTTGTTTTACATAAGAAAATGCTGAATATTAGCAATTATTGAAATATAGAACAATGGTATTGTAAACTAGCGTTTATATTCACACACTTGTATGATTAAATTTACAGCTTCAATCTTATGTCAATGTGTTGGAATGAAAATCCTGAAGACCGTCCAAGCTTCTGCAGTATAATTAAAGTACTGCACGAAATTCTTGGTTTCAATGAGATAATGCTAGAGGTATGTGTTAACAATGTCTAAACTGTTGCATGGGCAGCATGCATAATTGGTATAAACCGGAAAAACCAGTTGTTGAAAGCTCCATTATATAATTATCATAAACCGGGAAATATACTTAGATATAATAAATTCAAAAAATGATGCAAAAAATCAAGATAACTACTCTCAAGAAAATTTTTATAAAAAAACAGCAAATTACAGTAAGTCAGAACAAGCCTTCAGGAGCATAAGAGGAAAGTCCATTGGCCGCAAACTAATGCATCCTCGCAAATACCTATCGATTGTTAAGTTAAAACTTTCACCATGTATACTAGCTTTGGGTGTAACCTCATTTTCTTGTGAAGTAACCAAAATTTTCCACCATTGCACCCTTTGAAAGTGATTGCATCAAAGTGATACCAATTTTTTTTAACTGCAGATAAACGCCAACACTGATGACAAAATCATGAGTACCTGCTAAAAAAGACTGCGTCGTTATATTTAAATCAATCGGTAGAGAACAAAGAAATAAGATAATTCCTTATGAAAAAATGGTGTAGGAATAATTATGTTATAAATACGTCTAGAAGGTGTAAACAAGGTTTAATTAATTGAAATTTTTATTGTTGTTTAATTAACACACGAATACACGAAACCAGGCCGTGACCACAGATTGCATAATAATTATGGGAAATCCCTGCACGGATGTTCGGTAGCGTGAACCTTGTCTCGAGTCACACTGCCGGCCTGGCCCTACCTAGGTTCTTGCTATCTCATCTGATGTATAGAGGTATAACTTATTCAGCTGTATGCAAGCTAATGGAATTCCTTTCCTGATTTTGCGAAGATGAGCAATGTCCCACTGCATGCCTTCAGGGCATCATGTTAAGGGGGGGTACGTCAAATTGCTCAAAAAATCATGTTTACACTTTATAATTATATACAGTTTGCTACACGGGTATTTTAGTTTAACAGATGCACCTAACCATGCATCCCTGCAATATGTCCCTGTTTAGTTTTTGGAAGTTAAAAAGGTTCGCCGCGTGGCGCGTTTGACTGTCAAATGGCAGTAAGCTGTTCAAATGAGCCAGGTTAGCCCAATCGTTAGCCCAGGCTTTACTTAGTCCGGACAAATTTTGAACTTAATTTGTATAGGATACATATAGTATTACCACTTTTCGGCGTGTTTTGGGTCTTTTTCCAAGTATTTTGTTAATTACTTTGGCTATCCGATATCATGCATAAACAAGGAAGACAGTGTGAACGCGGCACATATTACCTGGACTTGTCCTAGATCTGGTCCAGGCTAGGCCCCAAGTGTAAATGCGGCTTTATAGATGAGGGGGCATGTGTGATGACTGTGTTAACGATGCAATTTTTCTCGCAACTTGTATAATGCAATTCCACATTCAACAGATGCGAATTTGGGAACTACGAAACTTTTCAGTGTTTTTCACACTTCACCAATGTTTTCATATACATACATCTTATTCTTTTCTAATCTATCAGCTGATCAGCTCTCAAAGGTAGAAATGCATTGAATGTTGGAAAAAATTGCATCGTGTACCCGTCGTACAGAAAGATCGGGTTAGCCTTGCTCATGTGAACAGCTCACTGCTATTTGGAATCAAACGCGCCACGCGCCGAATTTTGGTCGCAAAAATGTTTAGTTGAAAACAATTATACAAATTTAGTGAGAAAATTACCGTACGTACGTCATGTGCAGTTTTTTCCATGTTCCATTTCAAGATTATAATAATGTCTGATGTCGTCAATCACTAGCTAAATGAGAAGTCATGATTTTCGTAGTGGAAACACTCTATTGCCCTTATTTTATTGTTATATTTCTATAAAGATTTGAACAATTTTAGTGTTTTTGTGTCAGGTTCACTGCAGGTGATTCTGCCGCCAAGCATGAATATATTTCATTAGTAAATTCAAGAAGAATTTTCTAAATCTGTCTAAATTAAGGAATAAATGTGCAAAAGAGGTTTGGCCTTGTTTATAAAATGATGTGAAGGATTCTAATCTTGACTTCATGATCAACTAAAGTTAAAAGAATAAAGGAGACATCGTTTGGTGAGCTGAATAAGTTAAAAAATACAGGAGATGAATTCAATATGCCATGGTCTGCAGGGGAGCTGCTTTACCAGCTGCTGGCAATATAGTGATTGTTGGGAGACAGTTGTGAGGGATCTTAAAATATGTGCATATATTTGTTTGAACGATTTTTAAAATAAGATGATAAGGTTTTACTCGATCAAAACCTTACATGCATTGTCCTGTGAACTTCCAAGAGCCAAATTATCCATAGCAATTGGGTACTAGTTTCCATTCGCAATTTTCCGAAATCTTAGTTCATACCAAAATTTGCACCCCTCCTTTGCACCCCCAGTAGCCCAGTAAGCTCCAGTTAGCCAGAGAAATAAATATACCAACCCTCTGTTCGCCTCGCCCAGTAAACCCATGCCAGATGTATATATTCATAAGACTTCCAGCCATCATATGATGTGGTGAGAAATTTTTGTTCAATGCCTTATTTGAGTTGCCCTTTTTTGGGTTTAACAATTTATGTATAGGAAACAGATTTTGTTACACCACTCCCATCCTAATATCTCAACCAATTGCTGCTGGAGACTCTTGTTTAGGTAGCTAGCTTAATTTAATTCGGCCCGATTTTGAACGTTTTGTAGAATTCTCTCAGTTTCTTGAGCATATTTTACTCAAATTCCGGCTTATTTTCAAATTTTGAATTTTGCAATGTTCATTGGATATTGGAAGAAAAACATAATATTATGTGGATGAACATATATTATTTCATGTGGATAAGAAATAATACAAATATAAAAAAAGCTGACAGATTGACACAGGAATATTTTAGAGGTATTAAATGTTTTCTGGCACTGTTCTACACTTCTAAGTGTGAAATATAAGATTTTCTAGCTCATGCATTAAGATTTTGTTGCAGTATAAATAAAGCCCTACTATAGCTTTGATTACTTGAGATACAATTCAGCCATCTAGAGTGTTAAGATTAAAAAAAATCAGGAACTTCTCATGAACCCCCCCCCCCATGGGTAAGAGGGGGTTGAGTTACTTTAGGTTACTTACAACATTCTCCCTTTTGCTAGCACAAAAATTTGGCATGTCTGCAACTTGGTGAATATGAATTTTGTGGTATTTTACATATATTACATAGTCATCAATATACCCTATAATCCACCAACATTTATTTGTTGTAATCAAGATCATCATCATTTACATACAGTGTGTCCCAAAAGCATTAACACTAAATTATGAAAAAATCTAATTGTTCTTTAACCTCTCTTAAACATGCATGATTACGCACACAGGAATTTAATAAAATTTTACTTTGTTATATACAGTACTACAAAGACAGCAATGATTTTATTGTAAGTGGGATTTTATTGACTTTATTGTAATAGGAGTTATTTAAAATTAAAGAAGCTGATATATCTATGCATAGATCTGTGGATTTGGCATAGTGCTCAGGCATAGGAATTATAGCAATAAGTACTGTGTATAGTATTTTCTAAAGAGAAGTAATTTAATAGTTAACATGTTTGGTTGGAATTCTACTTTTGGTTAGCATTTCTAGTTTGAAAACTACAGTATTGTACCTGTGTGTGAGAATACCTTGCCCTATGTATTACATGTTAATTTTTTTCATTTAGTTTCATATTAATGAAAACATAACCAAAATTTATAAATGATAAAAACTATCAAACTATATTTTTTTCTTGGGATTCAGATGATTTTATTCATCATGTTGAATATTTAAGAAGAAAATTTGAGTGCTAAATGCAGGAGTGGACAATTAGATTTGAAACCTTAACTTCTTGGAACCAAATGAGATAGCATGTGAGGTTTATTGTTACCAATTATTCCAATTCTTTTGATTTTGGATTTTGAATCGTTTGTCAATTCTGATCCTGTTAGTACCAAGGAACTGACTAAAACCTTGTACAGCTGTCAAATAACAGTACACTGTAATGAATGTAATATTTTTATTGAAATTCATAATGCATGGCCTTTGGGTGTTATTGCTGTTCTCCATTTTGGGTAAAGCAAAAAGCTACTTTTAATATTTGATTACTATGTTCTTATAATTTAGAATAGTTCATTTTTATATTCGTTAGAACTGAAATCCCCCAATTTGCATGTACAAGATGATTGTTGTTCACTAGCCACTACCTGTTCATAAATCCTCTCTTGCATTTGATTTTTTCAAGAATTTGTAAAATTATTCAATTCCATAAATATTGCCTTCATGTTATACATAATAGTGATTTTTTTGATTGCTCTAAAATGGTCTGTTAAGGCTTAGTATAACAAATTACTATCAGATGGACATATGGATGCTGATCCACGTTTAGTTTTTAACCTGTTAAAACAGGCTTCTGGTGGTAAAGTGTAATCTTATTCTTCAACTGTGGCTGATCTTACTAACTCTCCTGACGAAGGCCGAAACGTTGAGAATTTTTTTTTTTATTTTAGGCAGTTGATATCAAACACATTTGATGTGTTGAAATCGTTAGTGAATGAACATGTATATAAGAACTATGATATAGAAACTAGAAAAGGACAGACCTTTTTTTAGTAAATTTATTAAAATGCACTATATTTATATAGTCATAAAGCAAATAAGTAAATTAAAAGAGATAGCGCTATTCAAGTGAGGGCTGGGATAAAAGCAAAATACCGAACGGAATGGCGGAAGCGGATTCCGGAAGGGGATTCCAGGCATCAAACGCGGAATTGCGCAAAAAAGATTAAGGAGCAGATAAAAACCCAAATGGGCAAGTTGTCGTCGACGACTCCCCTAAAGTGGTTGACAAAGTTCAATCAACCGCATAAAATCTGCATTCCAAGTTATTTCCAAATACATTTTCATTAGTTAGCCAAACAATTTTAATATGTGTACAGATTTAAGCATATTCTTATGTCTATAAATGCGTTGAAAGTTTTACATGACATGGATATTTCGCATCGAGATTTAAAACCTAGCAGTGTCGTGGTCTCAAACCAACACTATTGCTACTAGACAGCGGGATCTCGCTTAGAGGCCTATCTCACTAAGCGGGCCAGCCTGGCTGTCATATAAACAGCCCTTAATACTGCATAGAATTCTATTTTTATCTTTTAAATTTAATCGTCAATAGCGTTAAAGGCGTTATGTAAACGGCAGCGGCGAGTTGCTTCTTTTCAGTACAGCGCTATACCCAGTAATTATAAAGCGGATTTCCTCAGCTAATGCTAGCTTGGCTTGCCAGCCATCAATTCCATATTGTATGTTGCTGCATTTGTACCTGATAACAGTTTTTGAACGCATTACTGACCCTCTCTATCCTTTGCGTCCACGTCCTATTCCTCGTCATGATTCTGTTGCGAATGCTGCCTGTTAGCAACAATCACAATATCCATAATTCGTAAGCTGCCTCTTTAAACTTCTCATTGACGAACGGAAGCCTTTACTTCGAAAATAATACACGACAGGATCGATAATTGTGTTTAAAAGTATCAAGGGTGCAGTAAGACAAAATGCACGATAAAACACAACAGGATCTTTCTCTCT